AAAGGAAAGATGATTTCCTCCTGCACAAAATCTGAAGCAAGTCCTTTTCTGCACAGAGCTGTGGGTTCACCTTTCACCTTTGAGGCCCATAATGCCGTTTTATCTCAAACCTCCAGAGGACGATATCAGAGCAGCAAATCTGGAATATGAATAAGTTTTCTCAACCGTTTGCTTGTCTCAGATGTACCGTATTTTCTGCCGTACACGTCGCACCGCCCTATAAGTTGCGTCAGTCCAAATATGTCTAATAAAGTGGAAAAATCCCTAAATATGTTGCTTCACCGTATATGTTGCATCTATTATGCATCACTGATGACGTGTCGTGTTTGTTACACGTCACCGCTGACTACCCGGAAATGTGGGCCGGTGTTGTGCCAAAAATTGATTGGCTGTCAAATGGCGGCCGCGGGAGCATGCACGGGAGGACTTTAACAAGGATCTAACAAGATTAACACTTTAAAAAGTATTTGTTTGCGCAAAATTATAGTAAAGGTGTGTCTCAGTCTAACTTTTGCTTAATAAATGCACTTTGACGGTCAAATCAGCTGCATTTTCAAAAGCTGATACACGGAAACATGAATGCGCAGAGGGCGACTCGGTCCATTTCTTCTAAATTAAACAAGATAACCACCTAAAAACAATTATTTGTTAGCTCGACTTTATAGTAAAGGTGTGTCTCAGTTGAACTTTATGCACTATGACAGTCAAATCAGCTACATTTTGCCTGTGCAGCGCAGCAAAATGAAACCGATTCGGTTGCTCCAGGCAGATGACGGTGGCTATGGCAAACTGATTGTGTCATTTATAGCCACTTTTACCTAATACATGATACAACGGCATGCATTACTACTCGAGTGCCATCTAGTGGCTGAAAATGGTAGTGTTCTATATTTTTCAGTCAGAATGAATGAAAACGGTCATATCTCAGCCAAAAATTGGTTTATAAATATGTGAAGAAATCCATAAATACATCACTTCGACCTATAAGTCACAGGGCATGCAAATTATGCAACAACAAAAAAACGTGACTTATAGGCCCAAAAATATGGTATTCTCTTTTACATTTGGTTTAGTGTGGAAGTTTATTCAGGCAGGTTAAGTCCAGCTTATTTGATCATTTTAGGTGACACAGGTGGGCTTCTTTTACAGATTTTCTGCTGTTATCTGTTATATTAATATTTGCATGCATTGTTGTGGCTACAAACAACAAGAAGAATATTCTGTGCTTACCACTGAGCGTTGCTCAAGGTCCCAGTCTGGTTAGCTGGCGTTTGTGTGAAAACTGTGGTCAGAAGGGGCTCTGTGTCTGTTTCTGATGATTAGATGTGATGCAGGTAGATGTCTTGGTCGGTTGAAATTTTGCCGTAACTCTGCAATTAAAGGAGAGTCACTGAGCTGCAGGGTATTGTGCACAAAAAACAGAACTCTAAAAATCCCATTACTTTTTGTTTTTGTAGCTCAGGTTCACTGAGAATATTGAGATTTGAAAACGTGAAGCTTTTGTAAAGGACGGCGTTGGAGGCCGCACAAATACTCGTAGGCAGCAGCAGCAGTCTCCACGGCGACTGAGTGACCCATTTTCATTTGTTCCCTTGTCTTTTTTTGGCGTGCAGATGGGTCCGGCTGTTGTCAGCGTGGTACTTAGACATGATAATAGCAGGTAAATTGATTGAGAGGGAAGAAAATGTGTAAAAAGAAATCCCAGAAGAAAGAGACTACAGCAAAAAAAATGTATTAGAGTTAATGACTGAAGCCAAACAGATCTGAGCTATAAAAAAGTGAACGCTGCATTAGTTTTTCAAAAAATAAACATTTTTTTTTTCACATTCATGCCAATAAATGTAGCAGCAAAGTCACATATTAACAATAAAATGATGATAAAATTACTTTTGTTTGGCTATTTTTATTTATTTTTTATTAATTTTTTGAAGTGCTGAACAAAATAGAAATAAAATAATTAAAAAAGTGTAGAGTTTGGAAGATTTGCATAAAATCCTCATCTTTTTAAAAGCTTTTTGTGGACAAATTTGCAATATTTACTGAGTCCTCTCACAACATTATAACTGATACTCTGTTGTAAGTGGAAAGTTAAAAAAGTTAAAGGTTTAAAAAAATAAAAACTCCAACAGGAGTTGGGGTTGAAACAGCAGTGATGGCTACTTATGGGACAGATCTAGTTGGCAGGCCTCAGACTGACGAAGTCCTCCGGATGGGAGACAAAACATTTCTCACAAAGAAACTGGTCCAGATGACACAATTTAACCTTTTCTTTTTTCTTTTAAAGGTCTTTTTCTGCTCATTTAATGAAAAATTTGCTGTTTAAATTAAAACATCCATCCATTTATTTTACCCACTTTTTTTCTTTCTGTGTTGCCGGAGAGCTGGTGTCTATCTCCAGCACCTGGACAGTTTGTAAATCCATCGCAGGGACAAATAGAGACAAATGGGACAAACACCAATTCAAACTCACTCACACCTAAAGACAATATTTGGAGTAACTAACCCAACATGCAGGTTTTGGTCTGTGGGAGGAAACAGGAGAATCAATGAAAACATGACAGAAATAGTTCATGTATTTTTTTTTACCACTTTAGTGTTGAAATAAAAACTGCACAGAAACGGGCACCACACAGAGAAGTATGGCAAGCCAATTTATTAAATAATAGGAGTCTTTCAAAGCACATTTTCAAAGTTTGAATGCTCTGAGTCAAAAATAACACTTCAGCTAGGAAAATACAGTTTTATTTCATTTACATTTAGACTAGATATATAATTTTATGTAGAGTGATAATTTTGAACATCCAGAAGATATTATAACCCAAAATATATATAATTAGTAAAAATAATAATGAGCAAAATTGAAGTCACAAATATTTACAAAGACCAACATTATGACTCGTAACAGCTACATTGTATATCTATAATGTGTTTTTTCATGTGAATACTTCGCGTCTTATACCCAAAACATTCATTCTAGGAAGTAAAACATTTCATGTATTGTTAGGTATTTAGTTCGCAGACACCATTGCAGATGAATTGGTGAAGTGACATTGTTCATCCAAGACAAATTACATTTGTGATGTCTGACATGTTGATTCTAGATATACAGTAGTTCCTCATTTATTGCGAGGGATCCGTATGCTGAAGCCCCGCGATAAGTGAAAAACTGCAAAGTGGGACTAATAGTACAAGTAGTAAGTAGTTGTATATTCAAGGATTCAAGGTTCTTTATTTGTCATTCCACCATGTGATATATGTGGTGGAACAAAATTGTGTACACAGAGTCTCAGTTACATCCAACAAAAGTATTAAAATGTAAAAAGAAAAACAGTAATAAG